TGGAGAGACATTTTATGGATTTTAAGCAGGGGTTGTTTGACAGGGATCACGCCGAACCAGCACCAGCTCTCGAAGAAGGAGAAGAATGCTGGTATCTGCCCTTCTTTGGCGTTTATCACCCGCAGAAGCCCGGAAACATCAGGGTGGTGTTTGACTCGAGTGCTAAAGTTCAGGTAGTGTCCTTAAATGATGTGCTGCTCAAAGGCCCAAATATGAATAACAGTCTGATTGGGGTGCTCATCCATTTCAGAGAAGAAACGGTGGCTGTCACAGCGGACATACAACAAATGTTCCACTGCTTTCAGGTGCGAGAAGACCACAGGAACTTCCTCCGGTTCCTTTGGTACCGCAACAATGACCCAAGAGAGCCAGTTGTCGAGTACAGAATGAAAGTGCACGTGTTCGGCAACAGCCCTTCCCCAGCGGTGGCAATTTTCGGTCTGAGAAAGGCAGCACACCCATTCAACACAGCACTATTCTGAGGCCAAACAGTTTGTTCAAAGACATTTCTATGTCGACGATGGACTCAAATCCCTCCCTACTGAGTCAGAGGCAATTAAGCTCCTCAAAGACACACAGGAGCTGCTCGCTGCGTCCAACCTGAGGCTCCACAAAATAGCTTCAAACAGCCCAAATGTCATGAAAGCATTCTCTACTGTAGACTTGGCAAGCGGGCTCAAGGACATAGATTTCAACACAGAGTTTGCGTTCATATTCGGGAAAGCCAAACTTGCCCCCAAGCCTGATCTTACCATTCTCAGGCTCGAGCTGTGTGCATCGGTGTTAGCGGTGGAAGTTGGGGAGCTAATCAGAGATGAAATGGACATTCAGATTAGTAACATGCGTTTCTTCTCCGACAGCAAATTCGTTCTTGGCTATATCTACAATGAGGCAAGAAGATTTCACGTTTTCGTGAACAACCGGGTGCAACGCATCAGACGAGCAACAGTACCAACTCAGTGGGGCTATGTACCCTCGGTGCACAACCCGGCCGATCACGGATCCAGATCTCTACCTGCCGAAAAACTGTTGTCCAGCACATGGTTGAAAGGGCCGGAGTTTCCCTTAAAGCCCTTAGAGAGCAACTCATCAGATACATTCCAACTTCAAACATCATGCCTCTGTTTAAAGACTGCAAACTTAGAATCTTTCTCCAGCTGGCAGTCCCTTACCAGGGCAGTTGCATGTTTAGCGCACATTGCACGCACCTTTAAGGTAAAGCAATCAGGCGGACAGTGTAAGGGATGGCATATATGTCATGAACTCACTACCTCAGATTTTGAGCAAGCAAGAGAGACGGTTATAAAAGTAGTCCAACAAGAAAGATTCCCAGAGGAGCTCAAACAAATACAGTCAGGGAAGGGCATCCCAAAGAAAAGCCCTCTCTTAAAGCTTTCTCCCTACCTTGACAAATCAGGCCTCCTGAGGCTTGGCGGACGCCTTCTTCATTCTGACCTTGAGTCCGCAGAAAAACACCCCTTGATTATGCCACACAAACACCATGTAACTAACCTGTTAGTCCGCTATTACCATGAAAGGGTCAGGCACCAGGGGCGTCATCTTACAGAGGGTGCTTTAAGATCTGCAGGTTACTGGGTCTTAGGAGATAAACGCCAGATCAGCAGCCTCATTTACTCATGCGTAGTTTGTCGCAAGCTAAGGGGAGTAACACAGTTCCAAAAAATGTCAGATCTTCCTGCAGAACGTCTTAGTGCTGAGCCTCCATTCTCTTAC